GGTACAGAGGCCGTGATGCAGGACTTATTGAGAAACCATCTATCGTACAAGTAGTGAGAAAGAAATTGACCAAGGAAAGCACCCGACTGCCGGAAAAAGAAAATGCGGGCTCTGGACTCGTTAAGACGGCGGATGTAAAACATTACCTAGGTATGGGAGCCAACTTGTGCCCCAACCTTCATGAGCGTCGACGTGCAGTCAAACAAGAAAAGAACCAACGAATCTGGACAAGGAAATGAGCTTGAAGGAGAATACAATGATGGTGTGCTTGGGGAACAAACAGCCCCAAAGCAACAGTAACCGCATGAACATGATAGTTGATGTATGCGCGGAATTGGCAGAGTATACCTTCATGGTTTCATGGCCATAAAGGTCATCGTAAGTGCATAAGTAAAATCGTTGACGGAACAGTTTCAAAACCAGATTACCGCCGTATGGTGCTTTTGTGACGAAGGAAATGCTGTTATATGCCAACCGTGTCTTTAAACGAGTGAGGTGTCGTAGTTCGTGCTTGAGTCTCTTCGACTCCTTCCATGCGGACATCCCTGTCCCTTGCTTCTGTTGAGGAAGGCAAAGGCGCAGAGTTTGGTGTGAATGCTGAATATGCTTGATTGCGACTAGGATCGCCCGATCCATATGTGAGGGGAGATCCCATGCCGGTGGGTGTATGGAGTTTCTCCAGCTCTAGCGGCTGCGGTCTTGCACGCCTTCTCTTTTCCGATGATGATTCTGACCCTTGTTCGACTCCAGTTTGTTGCTGTGGCGTCTGAACAGGAGGTGCTTGAGAAGAAGACGTTGTCGGAGGCGTGGTACGGTCGAGCGGTCGTGGATCTGGACCTAGTGGTGATTGTTCCGGTGGCCCCGTGAGAGATTGTCGCCCCCTTCTTGGAGGGGGATATACTTCGCCCCGCGCTGCAGCTTCTTGCGCTCTCTGTTGCGCCTCGGCCTTTGTCGGTCTTCCGCGCTTTTTCTTATGCGTCGGTTCGCCCGGCGGATGTACAGCTGGGGGGTAGGCAGGACCGGCGGGTATATATTCTCCTGGGTAGGAATGAGGCGGGCGAGGTTGTAGCAGTCGCCCAACCGGGGTGGATGTCTCTGGCTGATGTGGTCGCTTCTTAGGGACCTCGGGACCTGGGTACATCATTGGGGCTGGTAAGTGAGGACGCCGGTAGTCTTGTCCGGGCACAGAGTAGGTTGCTGCAAGAGTATCGAATGCCATTTGGCTAGAGCGAACAGACCGTCCTAAAGTACAAGTGTCGCATCAGTATTAGAGCACTATGCAGGTGATTTGGGCATGGGATTGACAATTTGAATGAATAGTTGGGATGCGGTAACAGCAGAAGGGATAAATGTCAGCATACCAGGAGGCAACGCCATGTCGTTCCATCGCGGCTGGATGTTGGCATCGCGTATGAAAGCAAAGAGAAGATGAGAGGGTACTTGAGCAGCTTTTAGCACTTCAGCTAGTAAGTATACCTGTAAAGGACAGGTCAGGTCAGTCATAGATTACAATGGGGACGAGTGCCACATGCCCATGTTTTGGAGGGGTACGTACCTTTTCGTGCTCTGCCCATGGTGGCTCGCGTGAGGGCTCCATGTCGTGATCCTCGAGACAATCGAAATAGGCGAGGGTGGAAGACTAAAAAGCAGCTACGGCAAAATCTCGCTGTATGTACGTATGCAACCAGACAAATCGAGCATCGATCACAAGGGCCGTAAAGTAAGTGGACCGGCGCGAAGAGCAACGCGCCCTCGCGCGCGGTTGTATAGCTGCGTCTACCAACAGAACAAACGAGAGTGCTGAAACGAAAGAGTAACGAGCGGTAGAAGAAGAGCACTAAAATCAAAGAAACCTGCGGCGGGCTCTGGTTGTTGGTTTCATGCCAGCAGGCAACAAGAGCGCGTCAAAGGGACCACAGCATGAGGCTGGGTCGAGATAATTAGGAGACTGCTTTGCTTGTCAGAGATTACTGGGAAGAGCCACCCGGTATGTTATACATTAGCGGATTTTGTCGAAAACGAATGGGAAAGCGGCTAGTCCCCACTTGCAGACTGTAGCTCCCAAGGCTTCCCGCACGGGGACCGTCTAAATCAGTGCTCGTCGCAAATCGATAACAAAGCCTAGGTATGTAACAGAGATCTGGCGGCGCTTTAACCCATCTCGAAAGCCCTCAGTGGATGTTCAGAAACGATTGCGCAAACCGATGAGCCAATCGCTAGTCATCTGGGCTGAGCCGTGTCTCACCAGCCGTGGAGGGTTTAGGCTGAGACCAAAGGGCCTTTCTTCCCTTGCACCACACGTCCCTGCCTGCCTCGTTTCCCCATGCTTACTTCTGCCTGTGTTGAATTACAAAGGCTGGTCAGTAAGGCATAGATGTACCGCGTTTTACGAGATAGCGGTCAAAGCAATGGTGACCATGTGCCAATGTGTCGCGAGGCAGCAACAGTGGTTCGCGGCGTGCGTGCAATCTGTCAAGCGCGGTTCAGCGCGGATCGTCCAGAGAGCGTCGCGCCTAATGGGGGGCAGCGGAAGACGGCGCTGTAATCCCTGTCTCCAACGGTGCGATCTGTAATATCCTCCAAGGACCGGTACTAGCGAGATGGGCACCGAGAAGCACAAACGTCGCGGCTGCGCTGCTCGACTTTTTTTTTTGTTGGCTGCTCTTTTCTTGTGGCTGGCGGGCGGTCGTCAAGGCAAGGCTGATGCATCGACGCCTACTTACACCGTAGCTGCTACCATCTGCCGCATCTCTTGCATCGTATTCCGCGCGAAGCCACTTTTTTACTTGACCATCGGGAGCGGGCCGCGACTCGGCATGGCCTCCAATGATCATGACAGTAAGCCAGTCAGCCAGTCAGCCAGCCATTTGGAGGTAGGTGGAGGAGTCCTTTTCCATGGAGCGCGGGCCTCACGTCTCAGAAGACCCAGGCCGCGTCAAGGGGGGGGGCAGGCGACCTGGTGCAGGCGGCATGGATGGCTGTCGTGCCGGCATCATGGGTGATGGGGATTTAGGAGTAGGTAGCCGTTGGGTCAGAGTTTGCGCTAGTGTGCTTGCGGAGAGATACAGGCTGCTACTCGCTTAAGTAAGCCAATTACGGCCGTCTGCCAAGCCTCAAAGCTCCGTAATGAACTCTCCACCTTGCACTCTATCTACCGCTCGAATACGTAGACACTCGCGCCCGATGCTGCTCTCTGACGCATGATAGCACCCATGCCATGCACAGGCCGAGCGATCGGATGGATGGCGACGACGACGACAACAACAACGCCGACGCCGCTGTCCGGGATACATTGTCAGGACATGTACACTTACTAGTACATACGTACGTACGTATGTTGATACAAATATCCGTATGTACCCTATATACTTAGTATGTCCGCATACAGATAAGTAGTAGTATACATACCACATGCACGACGCTAGGTGCCCACGGGGTCAAGCCAAACTACTCTCTCCCAACCCAGCACGCTGCTGTCCTTTTCTTGAGACGTCATGAGCCGCTGATCGCTGATTGCAGCCCAAGCATGGACTCCAGTTCATTGTGGAAGCAAAATAAAGAAGGCCTTTTCTTTTTTACCTACTATGCACAGCCAGCTGTATTGGGCTTGCGCTAGCCGTGGTCCAGGCTGCTTTCTTTTCACACAAAGCAGGTTCCCCACGGCTTCACACCACTTTCTCAGCCTTCGGAGACATCATTCGGCATGTTTTTATGATGCCCGACGGTCCTTGTGGGCGCCGAGGCTATTCTGAGGCGCGCTAGGGCAACCCCCATCCAATGTATTCGACATGTACATGAGTCGTCCCCAGACCCGCAAATAGCTCCCCGTGGGCCTGAATGACACTTGCCTGCATGCCTCAGCACCAATGGCACCGACACTGACGTGCAAGCCCTCCGCCGTGGCCGGAGTACATTTTCCATGGCCGAGCACCTTCACTAGCGACTTCTCGTACAACGTCGAGACCTTTGTGATGCTCGGCCGTGCTTTCGTACGTAGCACCTGACGGAACGTCCATAGGCCATCTAGAGCGCCAACGGGACCGGTGTAAGTGGCCATCTCCCTAGCGTTTGCAACAGAGCCGCTCCATGGCCTCTCCTTGCCCAACGTTGCCACGTTCTGACGACCCTTTTAGAGTCTCCTCGAAATTGCCAAGGAGTTGCCATTTGATCATGCCAACAGACTCGCCCTCTATCTCCGTGAGCAGAGTATCTAATGCACGCTGAATTCTTTGTGCCGTTTCTTCTTTCCACATCTATTCCCTTGTGTCGGTCGTGACATGGTTTGCGTGCGCCCAAGTAGCCGTTGCCGGCTCAGGAGCCCTGCATCCGCAAGGGCAAGGCTGAGACTGGGCAAGGTGGGACAAGCCTAGTTTTTGTTCGCCATCTCCAAAGTACCATCAGCAAACCCCCCACGTCGCGTACGGCGCCGCTCCAACACATCGTCTTCCACCCGGGCCCACCAGTTCATGCTCGCTTATACAACCAGTGCGAGTCCGCATGTGAGGAAAACACAAGACATTTGCCAACCGTGTCGGTGAGCCGAGCGCGCTCCAATCCCGCGACCATACCTGCGTGCGCCGACGCCCCGGACTCGCGCGCCTTGCTGCCACCCGCACCCTCAAGAAATATATATCTATACTGTTACCAAGCTTTGTTGCTCTGTGTCTCCAGCACGCTTTGTGCGTATATAGCACAAGTCAAGCCATCGCCTTCCGCCCTTTGTACAGGGGGGAAGTAAAGATTTGCCTTCCCAGCCGTTGGTCCAGGTGCCCCAAGCGACCGCGTTTCGTCCTAGTAATCCGCTTTTTGCTCAGCTTCACAGGGAGGAGTTTTGATATTGTCTATTGCGTGCGCGTCGCTCGGGCCATGAGGTGAATGAGTAGTCGTTTCTGTATGCGTGATCAGAGGCATCCAACGTTAGCGTCCCTTCTGTCCAGAACCTCGCGATCCTCTACCTGCCGCCCCCAGCATCCTCCTCCACCCCCACGACGGTCGCCAACATGTCGAGCCACGATTCGGAAAAGGACCACGCTCAATTAGAGCCTGAGCTACGCGAAATGAAGCTGGAAGGCGCGGCCTCGGACGAGGCAGGTGAGGGCCACGGCTCGAGCCAGGTAAAGGTGGAGGACGCAGATTCACTCGACCGCGCGCCCACACCCCTCGCCGTTCCACCCAGGCTCAAGTCGCGATCCAAATCCCGGTCGCCTATGATCAAGCAAGAGTCTGAAGCACCCTCGCCCGGCAGCGCCCACGAAGAAACCCTGGGCGGAGACATCACGTTGAAGATGGAACCTGGCAAAGCACCTAAGCTGTCGCGTACTGCAGCCCAGAAAGTCGTCGCACGGCCGCCTCCCTTGTACCTCGACCTCCCGGACTCGACCGAAGCCGCCAAAGAAACCTTCACAGTACTCACCGAATGCACGTATGCGAACAAGACCATCGGCACAACAGACCCGGCGCTCGAGTGCGATTGCCAAGAGGAATACGACCCTGCGACTAGGAAAAATCATGCCTGTGGCGAAGACTCAGACTGCATCAACCGCGCCACAAAAATGGAATGTGTGGGGGATTGCGGCTGCGGTAGGCGGTGTCAGAACCAACGCTTCCAGCGCAAACAGTACGCCAATGTCGCCGTCATCAAGACGGAGAAAAAAGGGTTTGGACTGCGTGCGAACAAAGACATGGCACCAGGCGAATTTGTCTTTGAGTACATTGGCGAGGTTATTGACGAGCGCACCTTTCGTCGGCGCATGGGCCAGTATGATGAGGAGGGAATCAAGCATTTCTACTTCATGTCTTTGACCAAGGGCGAGTTTGTAGACGCTACCAAGAAGGGCAACCTAGGCCGGTTTTGCAATCACTCATGCAATCCCAACTGCTTCGTCGACAAATGGGTTGTCGGGGATAAGCTACGTATGGGCATCTTCGTCGAGCGACAGGTCAAAGCCGGTGAAGAACTTGTCTTCAACTACAATGTGGACCGATACGGCGCGGACCCGCAACCTTGTTACTGCGGCGAACCCAACTGCAGCGGTTTCATTGGCGGAAAGACGCAGTCTGACAACGCGACAAAGTTGTCCACTGACATGATTCAGGCTCTTGGCATTGATGATGGTGCTGCCTGGGACACAGCGGTTGTTGCCAAGAAACCCCGCAGAAAGAAGGCCAGCGAGGATGACGAGGAATACGTCAATGATCTGCAGCCAAAGGAACTCGACGAGGATGGAGTCAAGAAAATTGTGCCTGCTCTGCGCCAGTGCACCGAGAAATGGATTGCTGTCAAGCTGCTCAGCCGCATGCAAAATAGCAGTGAGAGGGTTGGCCATCGCATTGTGCAGTTTCACGGTTACCAGACATTAAAGAAGACGTTGAAAATATGGAAGGAAGACGCTAATGTAGTGCTGCAAGTTCTCGACATTCTCCAAAGGCTACCGCGGATCACTCGAAACAAGATTCAGGAATCTGGCATTGAAGAAGCGGTCGCTGAACTAAACGGCTACGGCGATGAGCGGGTCGAAACTCTAGCTACAGAACTTCTTAATGCATGGAGCAAGCTGGAGGTTGCGTACAGGATACCTCGCATAAAGAGGGATCCAAATGCCGCCACACCTGTCCGAACCGAAAATCACTTCGAGCGGCGTGAGCGAGGTAGGGAACGATCGAGGTCTAGATCCAAGTCACCGTCTGCAGTCGCGCCGAAAGGCCCATCTGCTACGAACATCCCTTCGGGCCCTCGCGCCTTGAATGCACCCCGCGGTCCGGCCAATTTCTTTCCTGCTGCCCGACCAGCTAATCGGCCTCGACCGCCAAACAGTCTTCCTCCGGGTTGGTTTCAGGCTACTGCAGAGAATGGATTGACATATTTTTACAACTCCTCAGGCGTCACACAATGGCAACGCCCGACTCAGGCTGTCAACGCACCACCTCAGCAGAACAAAGCCAAGTCCGACACACAAATGCTACAAGACATCATATCGCGCATTACCTCAACAGAAACACCCACTGGGAACTCTGCATCCACCACTCCGCAGCCTGTCCCTGATGAACTCAGAGAGCCGGCGCTGCGCGATGAAAAGTGGCGCAGTCTGCCGATAGAGAAGCAAGAAAAAATATACGAGGCGACCGTGAGTACATCGAGTTGATACGCAGTCTGTAACTGACATTTATAGCTCTCACCTCACGTCATGGCTGTAACCTCATCATACCGGAAGAAATTCGAAAAGGAAGAGGTCAAACGACTCAGCAAAGAGGTAGGTACTCTCTTCGATGTCTATGTCGACTTGCTAACCGTATTGGTAGGTGGCAAAGAAGCTCGTGCGCGGCGACTACAAATCTGGGCGTGTCAAGGACCCCACGGCTAAGATCAGCTCGAACCATGAGAAAACAGTGCGGAAATATGTCAAAGAGTTTATGGAAAAGGCCGTCAAGAAGAAGGATGAACGGCAGAAGATCAAGACGCCACAAAATGATACCATCCGTGGCACTTCTGATAGCCTGGCAGCCACGGTTGACGAAGCCTCTCTTTCCGACTCTGCCTCTGAATTGAAGCGCAAGAGAGAAGAGGAGGGTCGATTTGGCTCGCCGAAGAGAACACGGACAAGTTCTGAAACCCCACAACCCGCGCCTCCACCACCTCCACCACCGCTTGAGTCAATCGAAGACGCAGAGTCCAGCCTTACACCTATGGATGAAACCCCCACAACCTCGTTTCCAGGCGCTGCTGATAGCTTGCCTAATGGGGTAAAGACAACTCTCCAACTTGGTGACTACGGTAGTCCGATGCAGCTCGCGACGCCTCCTACAAACGGCTTTGTTGATCAGAAGCAGCCACTTGTAAACGGCAGTAATGGTAAGCACACCCAGTAGCCCGCTTCGGGCAGTCCCTTTCTTTTTCGATTTCTGTGTTACTTGTGCTTTTTTATCTTTTGTAATCAGTTCGAGATCAAAACACACACTGGACCGAAAAGGTTTCGGTTGCATAAGCATATCAAAAGGCGTTGGGATGGTTGAAGAAACCGCAGAGGTGGTTCTGTGGACTTGCTGCGTTTTGGACCGGCTATCGACTGCATGGAAGGCGGAGGGGAACATGGAGTTTTTTTCGTGACGAAAGTCATCAAAAGCTTGCTAACTGTATGGTACTACTTTTCTTCGCGCTCATGGAATCTGGGATGGGCTGGAAACCACCACTCGTGTCACTGGTACTCATGGGTCAAATGAAGTGCGCCAATAGGTTGGGTATATGAAAGCATTTTAATTATCCATTCCAACTGCTACAAGTATGTAGAGGTGATGTTACAATTTTTCGGAAAATCGGTAATCGATAGTGACTTGATGAAGTAAGAAAGTGCCCAGTGGTACGTTTCTTTGTGTCATGGCTACCCTAATAACCATCCTATTACCCCACCATGAACCGACATTTGGCGTGATGACCCTTGGTACATTGCAGCCTATAAACATTTGCTCTTCTTTCTGCACCAGCCCCTTCTGGACTATCGTACCATGCCGAAGCGTGTCGGATGCATACTTAGACTCTTCATTACGGCATCTTGACACATAGGGCGGATGTCCAAGGAATAAAGGACATGCAGAACCGACACACGTGGTTCGCTGACAACAAACTAACTACCCCGCGCCAGTAACTCTCCGTGACACTGCCGTGGCGTACGAGGCGTCTGCGGCGTGTGTCGGATCGGATTGCCAAGTTTATCGTCTGGAAGGGGTTTAGTCGAAGGGTTCACAACGTAGACTAGATCTTAGAGGCTTACTTGGTCGAGCTTATGCGGGGATAGCAACGGGTTAGAGCCGGTTGCCCAAGTAGCTCTATCAGCGGCACCGAGAGATTGTCGGTATAAAAGGCGGTGGCGCTCTTTTCGAGGTATGCTCCTGGGTTTGATTCTAGTATTCTGTTCAGAGAGTTTCAATAGTATTCAATCTCTCTCTCTCTTTCTCTGGATTGTGCCATTGCAAGACACCCCGCCGACACCCATTTGATTGGCGTCGCGTCTCCCCGCACCCCGACTGTGCATCCCCAACATCTTCTTTGAAACCACGTTTGCACGCTGCATACACCGACAGCTGTATACACAATGGCTTATCTTCTTCGTACTGCCGGCCGCTCGCGGGCAATTCTTCCTCGCGTGAATGCTCACACAGCCTCAAGGGTGCCAACGGCGCTCAACAGACGATATGCTACCGCAGCCGCCGCAGTCGCTACGGACAGCGGAGAGCAGTCATTCTTCCCCGATGAGCCCAAGCAGCCAATTGTGAAGACACAGATTCCCGGGCCCAACAGCCAAAAGGCTATTGAGAAGCTCGGCAAGGTGTTTGATATCCGAAGCTTGAACATGATGGCCGACTATTCACGAAGCTACGGCAACTAGTACGTTTCTTATAATCGAACTTGGGGGTAGATAAACTGACTTTTTTTTGAATAGTATTGCCGACCTAGACGGCAATGTACTTCTCGATGTGTATGCCCAGATTGCCTCTATCCCAGTTGGCTACAACAACCCATCTCTTCTTCTCGCAGCCACCTCCCCGGAAATGGCCTCAGCCATCATCAACCGACCCGCTCTCGGAAACTTCCCTCAGCACGACTGGGCCGACATCCTCGAGAGCGGCATCCTCTCCGTAGCACCCAAAGGCCTCAACCAAGTCTTCACCGCACAAGCCGGTTCCGACGCCAACGAGCTTGCCTACAAAGCCGCCTTCATGTGGAAGCGCCAGCAGCAACGCGGCGGTGCAGACGTCGACTTCTCTGCTGAAGATATCGCCTCGTCCATGAACAACAAATCCCCCGGCGCCCCTGACATGTCGATTCTCAGCTTCAAAACCGGGTTCCACGGCCGCCTCTTCGGCAGTCTCTCCACCACGCGCTCAAAGCCCATCCACAAACTCGACATCCCCGCCTTCGACTGGCCCCAAGCCCCCTTCCCGCAGCTCAAGTACCCGCTCTCCGAGCACGAAGCCGAAAATCGACAAGAAGAGCAGCGCTGCCTCGACGAAACCGAGCACCTCCTCACGACCTACCACAACAAGCCCGTGGCCGCCGTCGTCGAGCCCGTGCAATCCGAAGGCGGCGACAACCACGCCACGCCCTTCTTCTTCCAAGGCCTCCGCCAAATCACAAAAAAACACAACGTCCTCCTCATCGTCGACGAAGTCCAAACCGGCGTCGGCGCAACCGGCAAATTCTGGGCCCACGACCACTGGAATCTCGCTTCCCCACCCGACATTGTCACTTTCTCCAAGAAAGCCCAAACCGCAGGGTACTATTTCGGAAACGACGACTTGAGACCTAACAAGCCGTACCGTCAGTTCAATACCTGGATGGGCGACCCCGCCCGCGCTATCTTGTTCCGCGCCATTATCCAGGAAATTCAGCGGCTCGATCTTGTGAGTAGCACGGCTGCTACCGGCGATTACCTTTTCGCTGGCTTGGAGAGGCTGGCGGACAAGTATCCCGCTGAAATTCAGAATCTGCGTGGAAAGGGGCAGGGGACGTTGATTGCGTTTGATAGTGTGCGTAGGGATGAGGTGCTCAAGAAGGCGAAGGCTCAGGGGGTTAATATTGGAGGGTCGGGTGAGAGGGCGGTGAGGTTGCGGCCTATGCTTATTTTCCAGAAGCAGCATGCGGATTTGTTGCTGGAGAGGTTGGAGAATGTGTTTAGGGAGTAGATGTCTGAAGGGGATTTCATAAGCAAGGTGTTTTTGGCGTTTTTTTCTTCGTCTTTGATGTAGGGTATCGGGATTTAAGTTGGCCCTCTTTTTGGTATTGTGCATAAGAAAACCATGTTGGACTATTTGATAGTTATATTGTTCCCATTTCTTTCATGTTGTATCTGGGTTAGCATCTTATCAGAGTACATTGTGAGCGCCAGTTCTTCCTCTCTTTACTGAGCCCACTTTCCCTCTTCCGACACTTGCTCTATCCGAAGCCCCAGATGACACCTTCTCTTCTTTGTTCTAGCGAATAAATCTCCATCTTTGTCTTTCTATGACGAAGAAAGCGAAGAAGATGCTCAGCTCGCTCCTGCCAACCTCCAACAAACATTCACCAATGCCGCAGTAGCACTGATATGGGCAAACGTCCTCGGCAGCGCCACATTACCCACATACGCCGGATAGTGCACCATGAGTTTCGCCATAACATGGAAGCCAAGCAGGTTAACAATCTGAGCATCGTTGGGCGCCATAATCTGAGCTAGAGCTGCAGCAAGAGCGAATGCTATTATCCCACTTGCATCAGCAACTGAACATCAATTCGGCAATCAAATCCACCAGGAATTTGGAAATGAAGACATGGGGTAGAGGAAAAAAAACCTACCGGGAAAGTTCTCCATAAGAGCATAATGCGCACTACGTAGTCTGAGCGGCAGACCCTCGAGCTGATGCACGTACTTTCTCGGATGGTCGTTGTCGAAGCCCTCGCGGCGACCCATGGCTTGGCCTGCGGCGGAGAGGGCACCCGAGGCACCGAAAGTCCAGAAGAGGTAGAGAGTGGCAAGAGCGGGGATGGCGCGACCTGAAGTTATGCCCGTGGTCTTTTTGGGTTGGTTTAGCCTGTGTTGGTTCTGTATGTGGGGTTCGGAAGATGGGGCTTACGTTAATTCCGGGGAGGAGCTTAATGATTGCATGGACGAGAGATTGGCATATACTCTCTGGGGCGGTGAGGTAGGTGCTTTTGCTGGTTGTTAGAATTTGGGAGTTGGAGGTGGGTGGCGTTGCGTGTGCAGTACGTACGTGACTGGAACGAAGGCGATGTACATGGGCGCTGCAGCCATGACCATTGCTCCCGAGGGGTTGACACTGCGATTGTGTGTGTTAGTGGATTTTTGCAACATTTCTATTCGTACTTTGTGTCTCCCGGTTTCGTCCGTCAAATCCGATATGTGAAGAACAGACGAGTAGAAATACTCACATGCCATTGCCGGCGGCCGCTTGCTTTGCCTGCTCTTGCTTGTCTGCCATATTTGTCTCTTCTTGTGTTCGCGTCGATCTACAGTCTAGTTGGCGAAGACAGGTCTAGACGTGTGTGTGTGTGTGTGAAAAAGAAAAGAAGAAGCTAATCAAGTCCCGAGGGGTGGAAGTGATGTGCCCATCTACCGAAAAGGGCAAGCACTACCGTGGTGAATCGGGTATTAGGTAGGAGGAAGTGAGCACGAGGCCTACTATATACAAAGAAGACCATGGCCCCATTGCTCACTGGCACTTGCGTGGCCGATTATCGATGACGTGTGGGCCATTCGCATCCCACCTTTGCGGCGTATATAGAGGCCGAGGGGATGGGTGGTGTGTGTGTCAAGCGTCGGGACTATACCCTTGGCAGGTTCATTGGCCGGGGGTGGGGTCGCTGCCGCTGGCTTTAGATGAGGCAGCGTGGCTGGGGTCTGGACTAGGCCCTGTGCCTATCTGCGGGGTTCTATCGTATCCGAAGACGTACGAAAAGAGCATGCTGGGTGTAGAGTATTTGGAAGCGCTAAATAATTACGTTTGTAGCTGTCCTGTTTCGCACATGTGGCAGCCTTGGCCTTCATTTCCTCCATATCGAGGCGTTTTAATGCAGATTGACCATGTGCGGATGGCTGCAGATCCCACCTGCACTCATCAACTGGGCGCGCTACCACAATGGTCTAGCCCCGCTTGTTAGCCTTGTCCTTTCATGGATCAGCAGCAGATAAGGTGTTAATAGCGAGCAAACAGAAGAGTCCTGTAGCATGACATATGAGGCTAGTCAAGTCGGAGCTGGACATGGCATTGTTTGAAGATCATATTTCAAGCCTCTGACCAAACCAGATAGCAATCGCTAAACTGTATATTTTAGGCCCCCGTCGATCCACCCATTTCCCTTCTTCCTCGCGACAAACAACCGATGGAGAAAGCTAATTTTCTTCCCAAGTCAGGTTAAAACGTCCGGGCGCATTCTCGTACTCATTCAAGCATGTAATGACCTCGTCGGCTGTGAGAGCCTCCGACAAGATTCCAGCGTTGGTAGGCGCAATGAAGCCGCTCTTGACGGCATTCTTGACCCACTCAATCAGTCCACTCCAGTATCCATCGATGTTGAAGACAATGACTGGCATGCTGTGAATGCCCAATTGGTTCCACGTTGTAATCTCCATGAGCTCTTCAAACGTTCCGTAGCCGCCTGATAGAGCCACGAAGCCGCCACCAGGGCCTCCCTTGATGACTTCCTGAGCCATCATCTGCTTTCGTGTATGCATGTCCTTGACAACCGTTGTGCGTCCATAGATTGATTCATCGATAGTGTGCTTGTCGGGATCGGCAGGGTCATGGTTCTGCTCGAGGCGGGTGAGAGCAGCGGGAATGATGCCGTGGACGCTGTCAGGGCCTGAGAGCGAGACAAGAGTACGTGCTACTTCTCCCATGAGGCCCACAGTGCCACCGCCATAGACGAGCTTGGTGTTTGCCTTGTGTAGGGCATGTGCAAGAGCGCGGGCAGCTTCCATGTGCACAGGTGATGTGCCGCTCGAGGCGCCGCAACTATGGCAATTAGCGTGTGATTGGAGAGAGAGAAAAGGCCAATTTGCACATACAAGACGCAGACGACGGGCTGCTTGGGGGTGTCATTGGTAGTTGCCATGTTGTGCAGATGATGTTCGTATGTGTTCGGAACAGGCTCGGAACGAAATGTGCCAGAGAAAATGGATGACGGTATAGTTACACAAGGTTCAAGCCGGCGGTGCTAGCAAGTGGGTGTACTTTGGTGTTGTCAAGTCCAAGGGAGAGAAGAAAAGGTAGGCAAAGGACCATGTTGTCGACTCATACACACATACATATCCGCACATATAATAGGCAGCAGACGCAGGGCCTGGTGGGCCTGTAGCATGCAAAAGACGTGCAGTTCGGTCAGCCGCATTGCGTCACCCCAGCCCAGCCTATGCCGGCATGCCGCCCGCCCATGTGGCTAGACCCTGACACTACCAGCCCGTCTTGGCCCGCCCCAACTTCTCCGCCCGCTCTGCCAGGCCATCTGTTCTCCCATCGCGACTCCACGTTTCTTCTTCTAGGTTTCCTGGACACCAATCTGCTCAAGCCGGAATTCCAATTCCGCACGCTGCTATCATGCCAGAGGCACAAGCAGCCGCCCAGGCGCCCGAGCAGGGCAAGAGCGCAAGTTGCCCCAACGCCCCTCTGTGCTGCAATGTATACTAACATAGCCCGCAGCTGCTCACGTCCATTGCCCAGAGCGTGGGCATCTTCATGCTTATCCAAGGTGGAATGAAGTACATCATGCCACAGGCCCAAAAGACTGCGCCCTCCGCCGCCGACCCGTCCCAACCCGGAGCAGTCGTCCAACCATCTGGCAATGTTGTGATACCCGCTTGGGAGCAGCGTCCACAATCCCTTGCGCCAGGCGTTCAATGGAGCCATATACCCTATGCCGTCGCACCCATGTGGCCTGTCGGTACTGAGATGGACATTGCCATGTACATCTCAGCCTCCGTCGCTATGCCGCCGCTCAAATCCATGCCCAAAGAGTCGCTCTTGATTCACGAGACGAACTTCAAGTATGGAGATTACAGCGAGAATAGAGAAATAGACCTCGAGTTCAAGGTACCCAAGGAGGTACAGCGCAACGCGACGCTTCTTGCTCACTTCTACGTGGCGCAGAGCGGCAGTGTGCTTGATCCCACGCAACCGGGCTACGATACCGCAAAGGCTTACCACTTCATTCGACCCTTGTCGCAGTACCAGCCCAAGAAGAAGATTGCAAAGACGAGGAACTTGCTAAGCGACATGCCTGAGAAAAGCGAGGTTGAGACGGAAGAGGAGAAGAACGCGCCCAAGATTGTAGCTAACTATTACCACCCCAACTTCACCGTGTCCCTCATCCCCGACTCAGGCACTGTGCAGTTCGCTAGCATGCATCCTGGCCCCCGAAAGTACATTACGCTTGAAGCGACTGGCGCGCGAGATGAGACGGGTCAGCACGGCTGGTACTACCCCATTGTCTTTACAAACACGTTTTGGCAGCTCAAAAAGGATATGATTGAGGTCAACGAAACCGTCACTACCCTTCCACTTCATGTAAAGCTCAACAACTACGCTCACTGGAAGTTTAACATCTTCGCCGCCGTCGATGAAAACCTCAACGCCAATGCCCGAGCTGCGGCCGCCGGTCAGTCTACACCTGGAGGTGGCGACGGCTCCGAGATGGAAATGTTCAAGGAGATCATCATCGACAGCAACTCGTACCTTCTTGCTGTCACCGCCGTCGTCTCAGTCCTCCACATGATCTTCGAGATGCTCGCCTTCAAGAACGACGTGCAGCATTGGCGCAAGAAAAAGGACAACGTCGGCACCTCTGTCCGCACCATCCTCGCCAACGTCGTCATGCAAGCCATCATCTTCCTCTACCTCATCGACAACAACGAAAACACGTCGTACATGATCCTCTTCGGCCAAGGCATGGGCATGGCCATCGAAGCCTGGAAAATCACCAAATCTGTAAACGTCCGCGTCCGCCCTACCGCCCCGGGTTCCCTCCTCCCTTACACCGTCGTCTTCGAAGACAAGCATGTGCTCTCTGAAACGGAAAAGAAGACGGAGGAATACGACGCCATTGCCTTTAAATACCTCTACATGGTCGCCATCCCGCTCCTCGTCGCCTACGCAATCTACTCTCTCATGTACGAAACCCACAAGTCATGGTACTCGTTCATCATCACCACGCTCGTCGGCTCCGTCTACGCATACGGCTTCCTCATGATGGTCCCCGCCCTCTACATCAACTACAGACTCCAGTCCGTAGCCCACATGCCCGGCCGCGCAATGACATACAAGTTCCTCAACACCTTCATCGACGACTTGTTCGCCTTTACCATCAAAATGCCCACCCTACATCGCCTTGCCACCCTCCGTGACGACGTCATTTTCTTCGTCTACCTCTTTCAAACATGGAAGTACAAGGTTGATTATAACCGTGTTAATGAGTTTGGCCAGGGCGGCGATGACGAGGAGGTCGAGGAGAAAGATGCAAATAAGCCGCTGGCTGCGCATCCCGATGGCGATAAGTCGCTCAAGGTGCCCGATGCACAAAAGGTCCAAGAGGTGGCCAAGGAGAAGGAGCAGGCGGCTGCTGCTACGGGCAGTGAGAAGAAGGGTAAAGCGACAAAGAGGAAGTAAAGAGGACTAGAAAAAGGCTGTTCTTCTACCCTCTTTTTTTTCGTTGCTCAGGGAGGAATTTCACGGGAGGAAAAAAACTTTTTTGTTGTCGTCATGTAGTATTCCCTTTGAAGACTCCAAATGTAATAAATGGCGATGCCTGTTGTTTTTCCTCGATTGCACACACATACACACACAAATATATAATTGCACATGACATTATCAATTAGCAATACTATACACAAGAGTCCATTGCTTTCTTCAAATATACATGAAGCAAAAAAAGTTGATGTTGTTTACACAGTAAACAAAAGAGTTTTGCAAAGAGCTGCCACAACGCCTTGCAATGCTTTGAACATATGCTGAAAGCGAAAAAAGAGATTTTTTTCCCACCCTCCCTCTCTGTCCCCACCCCTAGAGACTTGAAACGTATCAAAGTCAAGAAAAGAGCCGCCCCTTCAAAGGAAATCCCCGTATATGCATGTCGGGAATTAAAAACTGTGGCAATGTCATGAAAAGCCGGGGAGCTGGAAACCAAACCCAGGTACGGCCGGCGGAACTGCAACACCCTGATCAGCTCTGGGCGACACATGGCGGGGATCATTAGCGTTTCCTCGGTCGTGCTTGCGGAACTTGTGTTGGGCAGCGTTCTCAGGCCCGGGGCGTGCACCGCCAAAGTTGTTGGGTGCTGCATCGGCGCGCTCGTTCAAGTTCTCACGTCCATTAGAGTTGCTACGTCCAGCATGGTCTCCACGGGCACCGTAGCCCCCACGCCCGCCGCGAGGAGCATCGGTCGGCACACGTCGGCTGATGGCTGTGATTTTGTTAGCGGTAAAAACCCCCATGCGGCGAAAAGACAGGCATACCCTTGGAAGAAACACCGGCCCCAATCTCGATATCCGGCTCTTCAATAACCATGCCACCTTCGAGAGCACGACCGCCAGTTCCGCCATACTCAGCGGTCAATGCCCATTTACGATCAGCCTCGGTAAGCCGAGAAATGGGAATCACACTGATGCCCGTCTGGTAGTCACTGCAATCACGAGGACCAAATCCGACACCCCATCGCGTCTGCACCCATTAGTCATGTACATGATTACAAAGAATACGCATCCTTACCTGGCGCGCTTTAGACTGTGCAACAGGATCATTCAAGCTGTCCATGCCCTGCTTGGCAGCAAGAGCATCGGGGCGGGTCAACATCTTGACAAAGGCATGTCGCTTATCTTGGTTAACAATGCACGTTTGGACCCTACCAAAGCGAGAAAAGATGCTCCGAATCTCACTCTCTGTTCCGCCAGCACCGCCTACAAACAATGTACGACTAAGCACTCTGATATTATCGCGTGGAAGGGTCTCATCCCAATCAATATACTTGGACTGGCCATATGCTGTTGCCCTAGGCGGGCTTGGCTGTCGTCGCGGTGGCGAGCGTTGCCGATATTCACTACGATCATTACGTCCTCCTTTTTGTTTGCCGCGGCTACGGCCGCGCTCACCTCGCTCAAAGCGTTGCGAATTGCCTTCAGGGCCTGCATTTGGGTCGTAAACACCATATGTTGGGCTCTCCCGACGATTGGGGTTGGGAGGAGACCTATCCCCAGGCGATCGTCGATGTTGAAAGCCCGGCGATCGGCTACGGTCTCGCATTTTACTGTCTGTCTGATCATACCGATCTGTTTGGTTACCGTTGATTACAATTGACTGCCCTTGTGGGGGTGTCTGTGTAGCCACTGGAGGTTGTAAGGGCAACATGGACAGTCCACCACTCTGAGCTGTGGCTAATGCGTTCAAAACCTGTATTGCCTGATCGGGTTGGATTGAACCAGCACTCATGGCCTGTAGAATCTGTCCTGCGAGTTCATTCATTCCAGCGGGTGGGACAGGCAAACCGGGCTGTCCTGTTGTTACAGCAGGCGGCGGAGGCACAAAACCAGGAGGTGGAGGTAGCAATACGTTTTGTTGGAAAGGAAACGCATGAGGTGCTGCAGGTGGAGCATTAGTAGGTATATTCTGGTGGCTAATGCCGGCGAGGGCAGCAAACAGAGCATTAGTGTCTTGTGATGGTTGCGCCGGAGGTGGCGGGGCAAGTGGCTGTGGGTTAGCAGTCTGTCCGTTGAAGGTTGGGGCTATGCCATTGCTCTTGGGTGGCTCTACAGGTAATGGAACGTCTGAGTTACCGTGCGTTAGCTGGAGAAAAGGCAACGCGTAGGCCTCTACCTACTATTGTGACCGCCATTCAGTTGCTGTTTGAAGGAGGCTAGCATGTCGTGTGGAAACGTCTGGCCACGCTCCCAGATGTCTATAAGCTTGGAAATCTTCTCCTTTTGAGTGTCTGGTGCAGACTGGATGAGATTCATCATCATGGCGGGTAGCACATCTCGCATCATCTGCACTCCTGAAGCATATGTTCCTGGTACGGCATTCTTGGACACGGTCTGGCCGGCCTGCTTAGCCCTCTCCACCCACTGGCGG